ACACACACACACACAGTACAAACACATCGAGGTTTATACAAGGCTTGCGGTCTTGGCCCTAAATCTCTAAATGAGGCTAAAGCAGCTTGGAGGCCTTAACTGATTACATACAATTAACAAAAAACACAAACTGGATGACAGGAGTTGCGACAACCCACCCCGCTGAACAAAAGCAGTGTGTTAAATGAATCTTCAGAAGCCGCAGTGTTATCACAGATTGGCCACGGTGCCAACGGCATGTGCCAAGAAACACAGGGAACAGTGGAATCCCCAGAGCTAGCTCCTGCTAGCTTACGCCTTTTATTTCCTGTGTTCAGGGGGCTGTTTAGGAGGCTAATTTCACAGGCAAACAGATTATGTTAATCCGTGTAAACATTCAAACAGCACAGCTTGGCTGTTTTCCGGGGGGAAATAAACAGTTGAGAGCGAACATATTGATTCCGAGAGCTCTCGCGTCTGCAAATAAGCAACACAAAAGCCATAATGAGACTTGTTGAGCTGCTGTTGTTTTGTTTTTTTGCTTGTTGTTTTTTTTTTTTTTTTTTAAACGCCCTCTCTCTTCTGTTCATTACCAATTAAGAACTGAAAACATGATGTGTCTGGAATATCTCCAGTGGATTCATCTCACCTTTACTCGCGAGGTCTTGTGGGTGCCTTCTTGTTTTGTTCAGCCTGCAACTCTATCTCATGCATATTTCAAGTAAAGCACCATCAAATAAAGATCTGACTGCCCACTTTTCTCCTTCATTTAAACTTATATCTCAACCTGAGCATTGTGAATCTTTTAATAACACATAACATCACATCTTATTTTCCATCTTCACCTTGGAGTAAAAGCCCACATAAAAAGGCCTTGAGTTGGATGAATGGGCAGGAATCTCCCCTCAGTTTTAAAGAAACATGCCTAACCCCCTCGTATTGTCCATTGTGCACAACACAGAGAGAACACACGCATGTCCACAAACACACACGCAGCCACGGAGTGCAGTAGTTGGAGGAGGGATGCGGCGGGGCCCTGTTAATGAGGGCCAGGGTGGTGCTGACGGGATGTAGGGAGAGCCAGAAAGGGCCCAGAGAGGTGTGAGGGGCCGTGAGGGGCCCGAAGAAGGCTGGTCGCGACTTTTAATAGGCACCCTGTGCTTTCAGGCCTCGTTAGACGGTCACACCTATCTCCCCAATGGAAAAGGACCGGCCGACCGCCTTCATTACTGGACTCACCTCGGCCTTGCACCTGACAAAGTGACGGCTTCCCTGCATGGCAAACGGACTCTCTGACTTGTTGTTAAAGAAAATAAAAGCCACAGGAGCAGGATAAGATGTCATTTGCTTGACGGGGGTGATAAATATGAGAGGTCATGCACTCCCATCATTAAAAGGTGAGAGAAGGTAAGAATTTATTATCAATATCTTATAAGGTATTATTTCAGCAGTGCCTCCCAAGAATAGCCCCTTTAACATAGGACTCACTTTGATGGTGTTTTTGCCTTTTTTCCCGAACCCGAAGTCAGACATGATATTTATATTTTCCAACATAATACAGCTGCATAGTATGGAGTTGTTATTTATCTGTTCATTTCATAACTGGTTGTTGCATTTCTGTATTTTCATTTTTGATCTATTACTTAAAATATTGACTTTTTTAACTACTTATATCTACAAGTTTCTGTGTTTTTATGACATGGTATAATGACCAGTCTGTTCTTTCTTAGACATTTTTTTAAAAGTATGTAACAAAATAATACATAAAACATATCACAATATATCATAAACGCTTTCAAGTGTTGTGATGGGGTTCGATAAGGTGTTTTTGAACGATATATCTGGAGTATAAAATTCCATAGACCTCCCTGCTACTGATGGAATGAATTTATGTCCAACAGAAGATGGGATGCAGGAAAAAAAAAAGCAAAGCAAGCAAAAGTGTTAGAAAAGTTAGTATGTAATGATGTATAATGTGTGTGTGTGTGTATGGGTTTATGCTCTCCTTTACTCCCTGTCATTATCACCTTGTGTGTGGATACTCACCCTCCGGTAATGGAGGTTTCTGTGACCCCGTGGAACTGCCTTTGCTGCGTCGGCTGCTGTCGCTGTTGACCGACAAGCTGGACCTCAATTTCCTCTGCATCCTCTGCGACACAGGCGTGGACGGCTGCTTCCTGGGCTGCTCTGTCGTGGTTGATCTTGCGCCAGGGCCCGATCCACCCATGGCACCCGCGTTGATGCTGGCACCGCAGGAGCACACGCGCGTGGCACCGGCCCCGCCAATGCCAGGGTGGATTCCGTTGCCGTTACTCAGCGCGGGTGTGCCAGTGCTGTTGTGGCGAAAGCCATTTTGGTCCTTGCCAGCGTCTCCCTCGGCAGGCTCAGAGGGCGCTGGCTGAGACTCAGACTGAGGTTGAGCTGGAGGGAGAAAGAGAGACATGTTTAGTGAAGACTTACTTTGTAGTTCCAGCAAGTATTAAAATCAGTATTTAAGGACAGTTTCCCTGGAGTATTTCAACTTTCTTGCATTTATTTGTTTATTGCAAGCTAAGGCTCTTAATACAAGAAAATACGAAGACTGCTTGTTTATTCAAACATATACTTTTGATGTGTATATAGAGGACAAAACTCTAAAAAGCTAGAGCACAGAACGGAAAGAGTGGTTTACTTTAATAACGTACCAAGTATTTTAAGTGTCTATGTTTTATGAAAAGAGTTGTGAATTAATTTAACCCTTTTGGGGGTAAACGCTTGATAACTCTGTAACTTTATTTTAAGTGAAGAGAACTTTGTCTGCACACTCTGCATCTTGCACTTCATACCTTTTACTCACATGTAAAGTTGCTGTAACTTGTGATATTCAGTTCTTACAACACGAACACACCAATCTCAGCGAAATCGTTCTCAGCAAATCTTGCCACCATTTCCTAACATGATAATATCGATCATATGGCAAACATTTCAACCCGCAATGACAGAAAGAAGCTGAGAGATACAGGAACCTTATATGTGACAGGTTCACAAAAGCCACTGCTGTAGGCAGGCAGACAGACATTTGCGGGAGCAGTACCCAGGTGAGTTAAGACAGTGTGCGAGGAAGAGAGATTAATGCAGTAAAAAGGGAAAGAGAGCCTGTGATACTGTGCATATACAAAATAGCTGCTGTCTGCAACAGTAATGATCTCCTTCCCTCTGAAAGCTCAGAGATGGCCTCAACTAGTCTTTCTAAGTGTATGTGTGACAGCCACAGAAAGTCAGGAGACAGCGACCTGTCTGATAAGAAAGAAGGCGAAGGATGTGAGTGAGCAAAGGAGGTGGCATTTTACTGAGAGGAACACCTGCACATTCAGCTCTACTGGGAGTTACTCTCACATTACCTTCCCTCCACATCAGAGCCACTGTGCATGTGCACGCACCGCCAGTGCATGGTTAACTTGAGAGTTAGTGAATTATTCATCTCTTTTTAAGTCTGTCTGACTGAACCATACTTATTCATTTTTTCCCCCATTCTATACTTTCTGTATATACATTGAATATATGCTATCTTCACCAAATTCTGCCTTGTTTAACAGCTGTGTAGCACAACCCAGAACACAGAACATCTGCAGCTCTGGTTTAAGTGTTTTGCAGCAGTCCAAATATCAACACATTTTCCAAAGTGGATGCAAACTTAATATAGAACTTGGTCATTTCTTTCCATCTCTATTTTCTTTCTGTCAGCTCACCAACAAGTGCAATTACGGTTAACAAGAGCGGGAGAGAGTGTGGGAATCGGGGCCTCTCGCTTTTTAACAACACATCACCCTGGGAGAGGCCGGACGTGAATGTGGATGTAAAACAAAGCAATTAAATACACACACTGGGTTTTGCCTTCTCCTCATTCAGGCTTCTGCATGCTGCTTCAATAAACAAATATAGACTTTAGGGATCAGGATTCCATGCAATTTGAATTAGACAACTGGGTAGCACACGATAGAATTCATTATGCAGTGATTTAAGACCAGGTTGATGGATTTTCTTCTCCAAAAGACAAAAGCCTTGCAGCCTGCCCATGACAATGTGGGGAGAGACTAACGCTTGCTAACAAGGAGACTCAGAGTAGGCTGCATCTGTTGTTGTTCTTCACTTTTACCCCTGACAGCTGCAACTTCACCCCTTTTTAATATGCACCGTGCAATTTTTGCATCTTTTTCTTTATTGCTTAGCAAAATAAAAAGCTAGGAATACACACACACACACACAGTAGGGTTTTCACAGTAGGCCTTAATTAGGTGGCCAACGATGATTTTTGCCTTACCAGGAAGATATTTTCTTTCAAACTGAATCTCTAGCTTGTAAATGGTATCACACAGTGATCTGGTTGTGCAGACAAGTAGTACATCTTTTCATAATAAACACGATTGACAAACTCAAACTTAGGTATTCAGCTAGCTGTGACATATTTCAAGAAACAAACTGACCAGCAAATGTTTTAACATTGGTAGAATCCAGAAATGAAAATCAGAAACTCTTCTAATCTCAGTGCTGGTGAATTCTCACAATATTTTATTTGTCAGATGTAGGTATATATTTTGATGTGTAAACACAAAAGACAACGGCTGACATCGGTGGGGTTGACAAGGGAAATCCATCTCTACAGCTAATGATTAACCTGTCCAAAATAATAATAATAATACACACAACACAGCGCAACTCACAGCTACCACTGCGCAGTCTTGAGTTTTGTCCAGTCAGTACAACACAGCAAACTCCTTTCTACATGCTGACAGTTCCTTAACCAATCAATCACCCATAGCATCTTGCGTAATAACACAGCCGTTTTTCCGAACTAGCCACACGAGCTCACACACACACAAACACGCGTTCATGCACAAAAAGGCCAAAGTAGACTCGGAGGCATAATTACCTTTCCTTTTGAGGAAGTCAAGCTTTCAATTTACCAAAGTATAAATAGTTATTAAGAAACCACCACGTAAAACCCAGAGCACATAAGCGGCGACTCAGGTTTCTAACACGCTGCAAAACCCTAAAAAGTGGTTCAAGTCTGCAGAGAAGTGTGCTTCAGTGGCAGGTTCCTGGATAGTCTTTATTTTTATCCTGATTAACACAGCGACTAAGATGAATGGACACAAGATAGTAATATTCATAATCATTGATCATGATAATGATGATACTGTCAAAGATGGCAATGACAGACCTGTACAGTCACCATGAGACAAATGAAGACATAATGAGAGGAAGCAGAAATACAGTAAGTCCTGTTAGATTTGTGCTATGATGGTGAGTTAGGGCGTCAAAAACCTTCACTGTATATGTAGAATAGCGAAAGAAAAATGTCAGCCATTATGCATTTTTGCATTGCATCAGTTAATCCAAACTAATCAGATATTTAAAAAGTATGCAAACAACTTCTATGAGCTTTTACTATGGGTTTACACACGATTTAACTTCATGCTTTCAAAATAATATAATGCTGTAATGGACTTTTTTTAGCATAAAGTTTAATTACGCATCTGAGGATTCAACTGATAAATGCAAAAATGAGCTGGGCCTGTTAATAAATCCTGACGGAGCAACACAGACACACTTCTACCACACTGTTCCTATAGACCGGCAGGAAAACACAACCTGCATCAAAATTTGATATGAACAACTCCCAGCAAGTTTTTTAAAAAATCATACGAGTCGTGCCACAAGCTTGTAGAGATGGGTAGGTGTCCCGAGATAACTGAATGCACACAGCCTGACAGGTTGCATTAAAACACCATGTTTTGGAGGAAGAACTGGACACACACATGCACACACACACTTCAAATTGGACTTGTAACCTCCCTATTTCTAGTACATCAACAACTGTTGAGAGTGTACATTTGTAGTTGAATAAAACATGGTATTCCCCTACACACGCTGTCACACACATCACAGGGGAAACTAGGGGGTGAGTGGTTCTTGACTGTCTAAGCAGCATCCCAATTTGGTCCCAGCTACTAGTAGCTGACAGCCTCAAATATCTGGGGAGCATTTTTAAAAGGCCAGTGTTTGATGGATTCATGAAGAACACACAAATATAATTGCCATTTGTCACCGAGTCTTCAGTGGCTGCGCCACACGGGGACCGAGCACCGGAGTGCCTGGAGAGTGCTAGAGCTGCGCCAGAGCTGTGCGGGGGGATCGCTCTGTATGTAAAACTGAGTATATAAACACCTCCGTTTTTGTCACAGAAAATAGGTCCTACAGGAGGGAGCTGGAAATTGCACCCAAAAGACAAAAGAAAGAGGAGGGGTATATATATATATATATATAAATATATATATGTCACAAGCCTACTGGATCTTACACACACACACACACA